CATAGCTCCTTGCAAAGCTCAAAAGCTTTGGCGATCTGCCCTCAGCCCAGCAAAATTCTCATAGAATTAGAGCAAGTAATTGATATGTGTGAGTGAACTTCAGATGTGTTAACAGTAAAATGTGTACAGTACATGTTATATATACCTATATATACACACACTGTGCTGTCTGTCTTCTTTGACTGTCCAAGGATGTCACATTCCTCATGGGTCCCAATAAAACCAGAGTCAAACGAGGCATGCATCTTTTTGTATGTCGTCTTTTGTACTTCAGTAACTTCAAGTCAGCAAGAATATTGCCATAGTAGACAAGTAGTTCTTCAAGTTGTTCGTTCCTGATTACTTTATGTAAAATAGCTCTAATAAACCTATTTTATTCTTATATCTCTTGCATTGTCATTTTTTTTAGCTACCAGCTAAAGTTTGTGCTACAAGACCGTGTCACAAGAGCAGATAGAAGTACATTTCTCCTTTCCATGAAACAGCCTTAAAAGAAGCTGGAATGTGTATGGTGGGAGGAGTTGTTGAGGTATTTGTTTCAGGAAGACTGAGAAGAACAGGGCATCTGCCTGCATGACTTGTCTCTTGAGAGGTGCTTGAGCGGAACAGGACAGCAGTCACAGAGCTAGCTGTGCCTACCACTCAGGAAATCTGGTTGCCAGTGCTCCTTGCTCAGAGCCCTCCTGCCACATTGGGCTAAGTATGGTTGGTTGTACTTCAGCAATACAGTGGGTCCAGGAGATGCTGTCCATTTCTCATGTGGGAGCATGGTCTGTCTTCCATCCCAGCCTACAGCAGACATGGCAAATAGCACAAGACCCAAAAGATCACACTTTAAATACAGCCTTTTAGGAAAGACACACTGCCCATTTGGTTCAGATATTATATCCCATCACTGTCATTTGTTTGGGGTTTTAATTAAATACCTAATTCTTCTTCACCATCTTACCATAGCAGCAAGAAAAGTAGTCTTTTCTTACTGTGCCCGCTGTGGTGCTATTACCGAAAGCCATTACTCCGGCACGCAGCCAGCAGCAGAACAAAAGGTTTGGTTTTGTTCTTCCGGGCAGGACAACAGCGAGATCCCGCACAGAGCACAAGGCAGCCAGTACAGCCCTGCTGCAAGAAGCTGCTCAGCTTTCCAGTCACTTTACCCAACAGCAGGCTTTGTTGTTGTGCTGCTGTGAGTGGAATAAACCTTCACGGATTTCGCACATGACAGCCAAGAATGAATGCCTGCAAGCAGAGAGCAGCAGACTGCAAGCACAGCACAGAAGTCTAGTTCTAGCACTGCTCCCAAGGTGTGGGTTCTCCCTCTGATGACAAAGAACCACTCAGAGCAGGCAGTGCCTCTAGCCCATCTTCATGACTGCATTGCGAACTGCTTTCATGGCTTCTCACGCGGACCTCAGGAGCTAGGGAGTTCTACACAGTGCTTGTACTGCAGCAGAAATGAGATGTTCTGTGTGAAAATCATCACTTCTGAGGTCTGTCAGATGTGTTTTTCCTGTCCTGAACAGACACGTGTATATGGGAACATGCTCAGTCCACCTATTCTTACCAGCATGCTTAGACAGGTAAGCAGAGAATACTGAGTGCTCTGCCCACACCCCTCTGTGGATATTGCTCCTCTGTGTATTAGGAGAGGTCATTACAATGTGTTTTGTCAGTGTATTTTAACATTGATCAAGATCCATATTTCACTTAGATTGCTTTTTATATTTTCAATTGCTTTGCCCTTCAGATCACCTTAAGGGTACAAACTGCTTCAGAGTAACAGACAATACGTACCTGGGTTTGATCCATGTTTAGAAGTAAGGGGTTTTTTCTGTAATAGGTGTTGCTTGCTGCCCACTTTTGCAGGGGATCCTAGCCTGAACATTCCCACTATAATCTTTCCATAGTACTGCAGGATTATAGCACGGGCAGTTCCAAGAGCACATTTGCAAAACAAAAAGGCTGAAATAGGTCAGTGTGATGCTCCATTTGCTTTTCAAATCCTAGATAAAGCGTAAGAGTTTCAATCCCAAACCGCACAGAGCGAGTCAGAGGCCTGAACCAATGGCAACACAAACACGCCACCCCAAAACAAAGAGAGAGCCTTTCTAGTAAGCCCCAACAGAATCCACAGTCATGCATCACTGAGGTCTGTGCTGGCTGCTTTCATGAGCATCAGGCATTGGGATTTTTTCAGTCCCTAATGGCACAAGCTAAAAAAGAACAAAGGGAAAAGCTAGAAAAGATTCAGAGTGGACACAGCCATTCCAAGACCAGATAGGGGCAACAAACACATAATAATTACTATGAAAGAAGAAAGCCCATGGAAAAATCAGCCTGAGCCAAGTAAGAGGGAAACATGCTGTAAACAGGGAATATTTAAAAGGGGGGAGAATATGTAGAAGTAAATACGCTATATCTTTTTCAGTTAATAGTTACTTAAAACAAGTCAGAAAGTAGGAATTCAAGGCTACAAATACTGTTGTACTAAAACAAAACCCCTTGCTGAACATTGCACTCTGTATTGGAGCCCTGAAACACAAAGTCTAGAAGCATCAGGGAAGATTTTCAAGAATACCTATCAGGTCAGATCCTCAGAAGCAGATGATGAAGATGGGTGGACTACAAAGACACAGAAGACTGAAGTGAGATGCCAGAGAAACTCCATCAACAGTCTTTATGAAAATAGTCTGTTGTTGATAGAATGGTTTTGCTAAAAGGCATGGGATTAAGGATCCCAAGTTTTCAAGTTTCGTGAGATGACACACAAAGTGAGTCGCTTTCATTTCTCCTTCCTGAAGCTCCTGGACAATTTTCAATTAGCAGCTGGATCTCCTCTGTACATACTTCAGCAATAACTATGTCTGTTCAATTCATAATTTAAAGAAATACAGTTTTAGTTCCTGAGCACATTCTGCTGAGCATCTCATTAACACCCTGCCAAGAGCACGGTAGAACAGTAAGGGCCTTTCATAGGAAAGCTCAGAGTGCATGAGCAGCGTGATGAATTTATGCTGTGCAGAAAACTACCACCTGGAACAGAAACAGCCCTGCGTGTCAGGGACGGAGTGTGGGAGGTAAACAGGTCGGGTAGTGGAAAGTTTACAGCATCTCTGCCTGTGTACGGCCAAGGTTTAGTGCTCACTGATTTCCTCAGTCCTGGCTGAGGCACAGAAACCCAAACCTTGCTACCAGGGGTGCTGAGCATGCAAGTGCATATTGTTTACAGTGAAGGCAAAGGAGGGTTATGACATTGTAAGAGTATCTGTGCACTTCCCACAACTGCTCTGCAACCTTTCACAATTACAAATGGGTGGGCAAAAACTCTAATAGAGCCAACAAAGGCAAAGTGTATGAACCCACAAAACCAACTTAAACTCCATGCTTGAATCCATCTATTGTACACCACAGCATTTAAACTCTAATTTACCCTTCTGATGTGTGAAGTCTGGACATCCTGAAATGCAAAAGTTCAATTTCAGACCTCATCATCTCCCACATCCTCCTGTGCACATGGTGCCTTTGGGGCAACACTTCCCCTATGTGCTTTTTTTGTTTGTTGTTCTGTTTTGCATAATGTGCTTGTGTGACCTCACCATCTGCCTTTTTTCTGAGCCAGGACCACCCCTCATTCCCTTCAGCAGAATGCCTCTTCCATATTGCTTGGGACAAGGAACAAGGGTTCCAGAAAGGTAATTAGAATTACTGATCTTTTGAACTGAATCATAGTATGTTCAAAATCAGCTAAATAGAACCAGAGATACAAATCATGAGCCTGGTTTGCATTACTCATCCTTTGCCTCATGTCAAAATCAAGAAGGAATTGCAATCATGTCCTCTTTCTGTGAACTGCAATTAAATCAAAAGCAACACATGCTAGGGCACATTGATGAGGAAAAGGAAGAAAACACAGCTACTGTAAGAATGGGTTAACACCCTTCTTCCTGGCAGGAAGGAGAGTACTAGTCCAGAATTTTCCTCTGGGCATTTTAATTTACCTCTTTGTGCTGACAGTTAATTCCACAGTCCCTCCACACTCAAAAACGCTGGAGCTTGTCACCCTGTCACAAAAACACTGCACACGTGGAAAGAACTGCTGCCAGCTGGAAGCTCCAGAGCCTACCACACAGAGCCCCCCTGGCTCCAGGCATTATTGCCAGTTTCAAACTCGCTGATGACAAACATTTCGGGAATCATCCAGGTGGCCTTCATCAGCAGTGCTGGTGCACACGTGCTGTGTGCTAATTTTCCTCTGGAAAAAATCATGCCATGGGCTCTGTGCCCTGAAGCTAGCTGACCAGTGTGAA